GTCTATTTAAGGTCGATATTTGCTCGAGCTTTTGAATCTGTTGTATGGAATTTTTGTTCAACATTTTTTCTTTATTATGTACGTTCTGCAGGCCTTTCTCATCGCCTTCACGTCAACTTTCTTGCCCAAACTGCTTTACCGTTTTGCCGTGTCGCCAGACAATTCCTTAAATGGCTACCTAAACTTTTCATTGGCCTGGGCTCCACCGAATACCACCAGTACACCGTGCAGGTAGGTTTGATAGAAAATTCATCACTCTGATATTTAAAACGTACCTCTTTCGCAAGAAGTATACCTCCTATTACCAAATGGTACCACTTTTACACACCTTGTTTGGAACGCTGTCTTCCTTTTAAATGCTGTAAATGCGCTGTTTATTTTAAAAATATCCTTCCAATTGTAAGCCCTGCCGATAATGACGGTGAACACTCGGAAGATATGGGTAGCTGCATGTGTAAATGATACACTTTTTTTATTTTTTGTTTTTATAAGGTACCCGGAGTTTAGAGATCGTCAAGGTCATTTCACCAGTTTCTACTGGCATCTGTTGGCCCTGAGGCTTGGATTTGTGATCATGTTTGAGGTGAGTTTTATTTAGACCCTATTCTAAAGTCAACTAAATACACGTTGTCGGTTTCAGTTTTCGAAAGGCCGTCGATAACTTCCATGAATAAGAAGCTGGACTACCCGACGGCGAAGGCAGCAAACGAGGCACTTACTAGTGCATTCGTGTTCTCTCGAGTATCATGAATTACGGTATAATGAAACACATGCGTACCTTGTTTTCTTGGTCCGCACCGGGCATACCAAATTAAATTAGTTTCAAGGCAAAGTTAACACTCTCTAACTTACACAAAGGTCGTCATTCTGCCGAACATGTCCGCTGAAATGCTTAACACAAAAACGAAGCAAAAATTGCAAAAATAGTCAGACGTTGGCGTCTAGTCCTCACCTTACCCGTCTTCTGTCGTCCAAGGTTTTTTTACCTTCATAAATTTAAAACTTATTGCAGTGCAAAGTTGACAGAGGTGTTCGTTAACCTTTGTATGACGAACTTGTAATTGGACAAGAAAAAAGAGTCAGTTGTCCGCGCAAACGGGTGTTGGTATTAAGCGGATGGAGTTTAGAAAAAAAGGAGCTTTCCCTACGGACAAAGAAAACAGTCCGTAAAAACGAGTTGTCCGTATTAGCAGGCGTTGGCAAAGCGATATTTACCATGGGTGCCACAGAATTTGCGTGGTTTCCGGTTTCTGTTGAGTCTGTCTTTGATATTCGCGACAAAAAACCCCTAGTATCCAGATTAAGCAAGACTCCAGTGTAATTTGGTAAACAAACATGAGCAATTATTGGGGTTTTTCCTCCCAACCAAACAGCCTGCTTTTTTCCACAGCATTTTGTCTTCTTCGTTTCTCGACTGATCGACTTACTAGTACCAGATATCCCACAATCCCTTGAGATCAAGATCAAGCGCGAGGCGTATCTAGCCAAACAAGCGCTGTCAGAGCATCATAGTTTGATTGGAGGAAAGAGTGATGGCGAAAGTGCTGACGATTTGGAGGAAGATTACATACCGTGACGTATTTGTGTATGTGTGTGTGACATAGTAATCAAATTAGAAAGGAAGTTGCAAGACGCGAAAGTCCTCACTGCTAAACTTGTTGCGCGATCTACAGTTTGGATTGTGTAGCTTTACCTCACACTCCCTAGACGTTGCCTGACATCTTTTCAAGCACTTATATAGCTGCAAAAAGATATAGTGTCAAAAACACTTGCCCGTTTATACGAGGAAAAAAANCCCAACCAAACAGCCTGCTTTTTTCCACAGCATTTTGTCTTCTTCGTTTCTCGACTGATCGACTTACTAGTACCAGATATCCCACAATCCCTTGAGATCAAGATCAAGCGCGAGGCGTATCTAGCCAAACAAGCGCTGTCAGAGCATCATAGTTTGATTGGAGGAAAGAGTGATGGCGAAAGTGCTGACGATTTGGAGGAAGATTACATACCGTGACGTATTTGTGTATGTGTGTGTGACATAGTAATCAAATTAGAAAGGAAGTTGCAAGACGCGAAAGTCCTCACTGCTAAACTTGTTGCGCGATCTACAGTTTGGATTGTGTAGCTTTACCTCACACTCCCTAGACGTTGCCTGACATCTTTTCAAGCACTTATATAGCTGCAAAAAGATATAGTGTCAAAAACACTTGCCCGTTTATACGAGGAAAAAAAAGGTTCTCCAAAAGTCATTTACAAAGCATTTTCGCTTCTTGCAACCTTCGTTTACAGAGAAATTTCTAGTTTTGGGTTGGATAAATCAGAAACCTTGTATCTTGAGTGCGTTTCGTGTGTTTTACATTGTACAAAAGTGGCTGTCTTACTCAAGGATTAGAAATTAGGTAAATTGAATTAATTGTGAGATATGACTAGAGTTACTAAGATTTGGTAAATTTGACTTAAAGCGGATATTTCAGAGTTAAAAAGGATCTGTTATCTGTAAGAACAACACAAGATTTGCTTTTTTGCACTGCGCTTTGCGTTTGCGAAATGGGTCCAAAAAATATTGCAAATTTTTGGTAAGGTCTTATGAAATTTAAGTATTTTTCCTTTGTTTATTTTACTATAATAAAAATTATTTTTTTCATTTTCTAATTCGGTATTTGCTACGCCATACAGCGAAAGATTATGGCACGTACCTTACCGATATATGGTCAAATATTAAGGAAGGGGTCACAATTTATTATGCTACGAAATATTGATGGAGAGTTAACCTTGGTTTACAAAAAAAGGCCATAATGAAGGGTATTTTTAAGGTCACGTTTAGTTATTGACTCATTTACGAGTCGCAATACACATGGGTATTACTTTAACAATGTCATTATTGCCAGCGCCCTGGGGGGATTCATTTACAAAGAAATCTTAAATAATTTTATCAATGTCTCGTAGAATCATCTATGGACTCCGAGAATGTGTAGTGGTATTATATAGCTGCTGCACGTTAATTATAAAAACTACAGTTTAAAAGAGGGCGGTTATTTTATTATTACAAGAATTAATTTACAGCTCACTTGGAATAAGGGCTTATGCAAGGCCTTTTTGGATAATCTGGTGTTGCTTTTTGTTTGTTTGTTTGTTTTTTCACAAAAAAAAATCATATACTACAAAATTATTTATTAAATTAATACCACCTACGCGTTGTCTATTTTGCGTTGGTGAGGTTGTACAGATATTTAACGTAGGGCTCAGATTAATGTGGAGAGGAACTTTCCGAATGAGAGGGATTTAACTTGATTGTCTACATGAACAACTCCGTTTGAGTATACAAAAGCAAAGAAACTTGCATGAGCTTACTTTAGGGTTCTAAATGGCCTCGTCTGTCAAGAGAGAGAGAGAGGTTTTTTAGCAGCCTTAGAGAAGCACAAACGTTATGAAGTTCCAGTGTTTGGAAGATAAGCAATTGAAAGGAAGATTAGAAGTAGATTGATATCACTTCTCCTTTTTTTGTTTCTTCGTTTGTTTGTTTTTCCTATCTAGTGTATTTTTCCGTAAACAATTCCGCTTCAGTCTCTTTTCTCATGTTCTAGATACGGACCGGATAAGTCATTAATACTTTTCAAATTATATGTAACAAGGTGTTTAAAGCCACACCCTTCGACAAAACAGTATTTCTTGTTTTGCTTAGCTCAGTTTTGGCTATCTTTCCTTCTCGACTAACAATTATACAACACTAAGCACAATTTGAAAACTTATCATAAACCAGTAGAAAAACCTTCCAGAGGAAATTTATGAAACACATAGTATAAGAAGTAATGTATAAATGTATGAGAGGTAGTTGGTAACGATACGGTTTAATCATTACTTTGCAGCGTGCATTATATTGAAATTGAAGAGAATTTCAAATTATTACTTGGGTAAAGTGAAGACACATTAGACATCAGAGAGTAAACTATCAAAGATAAAGGATTGTTGAATCAGTATCTTCCCACTCACCCCTCCCCTTATGCAACGTTGACAATGACTAATCATTTAGGGCAAAATGTTCGGCTTGGGGAGGGGTAGGTGGAGAGGTTACTAAAAGGACACGAAATAGGATTACAAACGGCGAACTTGGGGCTGAATTTTTTTCTGCTGCAGAAGCCGTGAAACAGCTCCGTAAAAACGTAAAATTGCAAGTCAACCTCGCGAGGTATGACAAAGTTTAAAACTTTAACTGCACTTTCACCTCACAAAACGGTTAAAACAACAACAGTCCTTTTTAACAGACCATGCTCGTAGTCTCCACAATGAACTGAAACTACGTTACGGTCGAGACACGGGCCGCGTTTGCTTCACACGCAGAAACGTTGACAGAGATCTCTTTATTAGCTTCGACTGTTAAATAGTTTCAGTTCATTACTGGGAGTTCGAAATGGTCTGTTCAACCAGAGCGAAAACCAGTGTATATGACTTACAATGTATTAAACCAATTGGTTTGAAGATGGTTGTAGTGTAACCAGGACAAATCATTGGTTTTAGAGTATATGTAGCAGGTAGTAAAGTAGTGACTGGTCAGCGGTGTAATATTCAAGGGTAGAAAACTGCCTGCAGGCGGGTGGACTGGAACTAGCTCAAATAAACTGGTTTGGTGGACGACAATTTTGTATCAATATTGTCTTTATTATTGTTGCTATCTTTCTTTTTGAACATCATTTATCTTATATCCGGCAGAATTTTTGAAAACGTTACAGCCAAATAGACTTTTTCCGTCAAGCAGTTTTTTTTATTCAAAACCTACCTCCAAAGTAGCCACTATAAACTCTAATAGTGCAACAATAGACCATTTGCACTATGACATCATTTTACTACTACGACCAGAATCCTTCAGGGTTTTGCTTTCTTGTGCAAATTAGGGCTTTTGTTATTTAAACCTCACTGGGATTACAAAATTGAAATATGAAAGGAAAAACGAAAAGGATTCTGGTCTTAGTAGTAAAATGACATCATCGTGCATATGGCCTATAATTGTTTCTTCATCTTCTCCTCCTCCATTCGTTATTCTCGCTCTTTGCTGTTTTTTCTATCCTTTTCTTTCGTTAGTGTGATTTTCGGGATTATAGGACGCAAACAAACCCCTACCTTTTGGCCCCACTTTTCTACTAGCCTCGTTTTCAAAAAACCGGCGGGATATTCAGTTATTTATTAAAAAAGAGCACATATGGATTTAATACTCAACCAGTTTAGTTATTCAGGAGTGAATCCAAAAACGTTCTTGCGCGAATTAACTTGGCAAATTTTAAAGAATTTACAGAAAGTTTGGTGTGATATTTCTGGCTGAGGACTTGTTGAACTTGAGTTAACACGGTACAACAAGAAATCTGCCACTCTTCGCGACCATCAACCGTCCTTTAAGCAAAACAGACGAGAATCATCATATCAAAAAACGAAGAAAAAGTTTCATTTTTGTGAGAAAATAATTCTAGTAGAAATTAGTAATTAGAAATAAGTTATTTGACCTGCTCGCGTGAATTGCTCGACTTTTGGTAAGACCTTTCCCTTACAGGGCCTCTCCCTACCCCAGTCAGGAGAATGTTCTCCGTATTACAGGGGATGTTTCTTGGTGTTGAGGAAGCCATTGTTGGTTCAATCTTGTGTTATTGTGTAGTTATTATCATTGAATTGTTTTTTTTAAATCTTTTGTATGGCGTCATTTGGTGATTGCACCCTTCCGCAACACCATGAAACTACCATTATTACTGGCGACAATTTAAATATTAGGGTGGAGAAGGTAGGGAGTGCTTTCAAAAGGTGAGAAGAATCGGACATCTTATACCCGTTTGCACATCGCAGTTTTCGTTTTGATCCACGGTTTAAGTTCCACCTTGGTCGTGGATTAGACTCCAAAAACAATGCTTTTTTTTTGTTTTCTACAAACGTTCTTTAAAGGCGCGAAACGCCGACAGCGTTTAAGTCTCAGGCGCGCAAGGCGCGCCAGCCTCACTCTCGCTCCAGACTTTTTATTTGACTGTTCTTGCGTTCTCCATTAAGCAAAAATACGGGCCGTTTTACAGTCTATTGGTGGATTCAACAAATAATTTCCCCTACATTCCCCTTTCTCTCATTTTATTTCTAACCCTCGCTGTATATCCCATAACACTCGACCACGCCCCGTAAGCACTGTGTGCCCGTATGCCTGTGTGCCCTGTATGCCCGTATCCCTGTAAACCTTGTATGCCCGTATTTCACTCCTTATCAACACGACATTTCCAATTTTATAGTTAAAACAACAGCAAAAATTCGTAGCATACCTGTCAAGAAACTTCAAGACTTTCCAAAGCTGCTCTAAGTTTTGTGTTCCAACAAGCTGTATAAGGTAAGCACTTAACACTTCCACGTCTTCTTCCAAAGGAGCTGCCGATATACAATCACGGCAAAGATCATAAAAAAAAACACTAAGCCAATTTCATATTCACCCAAAAGGGCCGAATTATACCTCTAAGGACGTTACTGTGTAGTCTAAGAAAACTGCCGACATTTCGTGACGCCACCATTGGTTACCTTGTGAATAGCACACGTTCGATATATTACAATTCTAACGCGACTCCGAGGCTTTAGGGACAAAATTGTAAATTTTTCATGACTCCATTGTCTCGCAATTCCCAAAAGAGACTTGAGCCCAAAGAAAACCAAACCAAATATAGAAAATTGACCTGAAAGCCTCAGAATCATGTCAGAATTTTAATATGACGAACGTGGGCTATCAACGTCTGAGGAACGAACGTCGAAGTTCCATACTGATCAGATCTGGGTTACATACATACGTATTTTATGGGCTCGTCCCCACAGGGCTTTTCAGAGTCAATGTTACAATAAACATTTGGAACACAGAAAGCTAAAAACACGAAAAATAATTAACTAACTAAAGGAGGCCTCCAGAAGAAGTCGTCTAAGTTGACGCTTAAAATTTTGAACTGATTCGCTTAGCTTGAGTTCTGGTTAGAAGTTATATCAAAAAACGTTGCTCTATGTTCGAAGGACCTCTGGCCACTAGCAGTGCGGAAGAGTGGTGTTCTCAACATTTCCGATTCCCTGGTTGTGCTTCTGATTGAAGAGTTGCGTGGGAAATTGACATTAACTAATCAGAGAGAGGCAGTACCCAGATCTCAGTAAGGACGCGTCATCAGTTTGGAATTTTTACAGTTGTTCCTCAGGCGTCATTTCGCAGGGAAATCAGTGATGGCGTCGCAAGATACGGGCTGTTTTCTCAGGCCTTTAATGTGAAGCTCATCCAAAGAACACTGTAATGCGGTATAAGATATTCGAGAAACAGTTCTGAACTTGCGACGTCTTTAGGGCAGGAATTGTACAAGTTTGAGTCGATTTACTTTTACTTGTGTTCATCTTCATTACCAGCAACAGGGACCAGCTTTTCGCCGATTGCAACGAGACGCAACTGAACGAAACGGAGCACAAGTGTTCTCAGTATTGATCGCTTTACATAGAAGCGTATTGAACCTGGAAACTTGCCAACTACATTTGGTTTGTTTGTACTGCTACTCAAGGTTTGTCAACAAATAGGAATTTTAAAACCTTTTAACTTCTACTTTCCAGTGTGACTGAGCGTACTGACGTAACTAACACACTTCTCGAAGGAAGTGCTTGTGCCTTGTTAAGAAAATAGAGATTTTTAGAATCACGTTTACGGCAAACGGCAAATGCGAGATTCAAGTTGAAAATTTCTCAATTCAGGAGAGGTGCAAACAAAACCTGTCCAAAATACTTTATGTGGATGAACCTGGCATAAAACTACATATTTTTTTGTAGACAAAATAAAAAGTACTTAGCAAGTAAAGGGAAAACTTCGTCACGAGTTAAAATCGTGTGTGGTGTACTAGGCACTATCTTGTACATCCGGGATTGTAGGAGTGAAATGAGAGGGTAAAAACAAGATGGCGAGCCTTAATGCGTGTTCTTGACTATGTGGCCAACTGTTTGCTGCTTGTCAGTCAGTCCCTTAAAACACTTCCAGACCTAACAATTCCTACCTTCATAAGCTTCAGTCCATTGTCTGATGACCTGCTTTACTTCTGGAAGTGTAATGGCTTCTCCTAAACTCGCCTGATGACAAGAAATGTTTGTAACAGCTAAGTGAAAAAACGAAACAGAGGGAAAATATTTGAACGAGGTTGTTTCTTGCCCACCACGGCGAAGCAAGTTCCCTTTCGCGAACAGTCGGTACCATTTCTAGGACACCTTGACTGTCAATATAATTATAAATTTAGATGTAGAACTAAAGCCACACTAAAATAATAGCAAGCTCATTTGCTACAAATTACAAACCACAGTAAAGAAACGCAAGTTAAAATGGTTTGAGCATGTATCAAGACCAGCAGGGCTTGCCAAGACAATTTTACAAGGAAAAAAGAAGGGAGGGAGAAGAAGAGGCCGACAAAAGATGCGCTGGGAGAATAACATCTCTGAGTGGACAGGATTGAGGTTTTGCGACGCCCTAAGAGAATCTGAAAACAAAGTCAAATGGAGGGAAAAGGCTGCTAGGTCCGTGACTCCCCAACGGTCACCATGACTACGGGATAGGTGTAGGTGCAGGTGTTTTGTATAACTGATACATCTACAATAAGGGAACCTGAAGCACTTTCCTGACCTTTTGACATGGATTCATCTCTGATCTTTCTGAGACTGTCTAGAGAATCCTTTCTATTTCACCTTATTTTTAACATTATCTACGAGGTGTTTTGGTATCGCCCATTCACGAAACAAGAGAGGCAACGGTGACTGTCACTTACAACTGTACAATCAAATCCCGCTTTACGGACACCCACTTTATACGGACACCTCATTATTACAGCCAGTTTGCTTTGTCCCTGGGGAAAGAAACTCCTTACATTTTCTCTAAATTCAACCCGCTTCATACCGACACTTACTATGGCCCCCTCGGAGACGTATTGACGCGATTTGACTGTATTTGACGTCGGCCTAGTGCCCAGTGGTCCTTATGATAACAGATTAAATTTACCTGTTTCTGTTTTGATGGAGGACGGTTGCCTTTTTCAGGTTCTTCTTTTTGAATAGCACCTGACTGGAGAGCCCCTTTATCACTTCCCAGGCCTCTCTCCATGGGCAAAACCGGGGCACTCGAAGCTTCAGCCTGGGCACGATTGCCTGTAATATTTGAATCCTTTAGTTTATAGGCCTGCTCAAGTTCTTCTCTGACGTCATCTGGAAGGGCCGCCAGGAATTCTGGGTCGATTTGGGACGGTGATGGTAGAAGATCTGATGTACTAGGAGCTGCTTCCGATGAAGTGCTTGCTTGAAATAGAGTTCGAGTAGGTCTGGCCGCTGCCTTACTTTGTTTGCTTTTGGTGGTTTTTTGTTGCGGAGGCTGCTGAGGTTCAAATGCTTCTTCCTGTAACGCAAAAAACCTCTGCATCAAACCACAAGTCACTAAACTGCTTACAGTTCACTATTTTCCGTTAGATTGTCAAATGGTGCTCCACTCCCCTTCCCCTCCAACACCACGACCACCACCACCACCACCAGCATTACAGACACACATATAGAGAGGTGCCTGAACTCTCACTCAGGAACAGAAAAGCTTTCCCTGTAACGAAGTTACTCTTCTTACAGCTGAAAATCAAAGTCGCTGTCTTGACTTCAAGAAAAAGCAAACAGACAACAACAAAAAGACAGTATCAAATGCTTCTCTAACATAGATACTAATTCTGTCTACATTCCACACATATCGATAACGATGAAATAACTAACGATATAAAATTTACCAGGGGAACACTCTCATCATCATCATCATCATCATCATCATCATCATCATCATCATCATCATCATCATAGGGATGAGGAGGAGGATGACGATGTTGATAAAGATTATGATGATTATTACTATAGGGAGAATATCCTTTACTAACCTCTTGTCTTTCAGCCCGAGGAAGTGAAATCCTCTGATTTCTAGCAGCGTAAGATTTTTCAATACTTCTTCGAATATCCTCAGGTAAAGCTTCAAACACAGAAGGATCAATCTGGGACGGCGATGGCAAATATAGACTCTCCCCCAGGTCACCAAGTCTTTTCTCGGACGAGCAATCACGTGTCTGCTGAGTTTTCTGGGGAGAGAATCTTGGTAGCGGTGGAAGTTTGCTCTGTTCATTTTCAGGACGTCTTCCTTCAACAGGCGCGCGGACTTCTTCAGAGATTCCATCTTCTCTTTCTGAGGCAACAACTTTCGCGGCGCCTTCGTTAGTGTTCGCTTTTGGTTTCATAAAATCAAACAAAGATCTCACATTTTTCGCACCAGAAGAGGCATTCTTCTCATCCAACTTGCTGACTTGTATCCCCATGCCTCGTATATCTTCTGGAGCGACATTCAATTGCTTGAGGAGAGCGTGACACTGCTTCGCTACAACTTGTGAATCATCCGTGACGGACGGTAACGTGCAGGAGCGAGCTATGTTATCACAGATTCCGTGACCCATAAACTTTCGCGGGGTTGGCGCTCCTGCTTTCCGCACTTTCATCTGTACCAGAAAAAAGCAAACGGTTAGGGCAACCGCAATAGAGCGATTTCGCTATTCATGAGTTTCTTGGCGTTTGATCTATGTAAAGACGCCAAAGGACAAATAAACCTCCAACCAAAAAGGGTTGAGAAGGACAAGAAAAGGAAAGACAGGGAAAAAAAATAGGAAACACTATTTATCTGTTTCCAAGCGACGTTTGAAACACTTCTGATGCCACACCGGAAGACACAAAAAGCGAGCAGTCTCTTGTTTTTAATTTTTCTTTTGATGTCACACTGAGCAAAGAAGGGCGACCGCACGTAGTCTACGCACAGCATGAACGATTAGGGTGCTCGCAATTGCTTGGATAGAACCAAGGTGTACATATATACAGGGTTGTGTCCATATAGTCATTCGATATGTCCAAATCGCCCCAGGTATAGACGAGATCCAGGACCATTATCTGGAAACCAAGCCTAAACTGCTTTTAAGTACAGTAAGGGTGAGACATGAGACAGGCGTTAAGGGCGGAAACACGTTCATGTGATGCCATTGAACAGGTGAGAACATAGAACACTGGCTTTGAGCATAGGTGTTGTACTAGCCCTTACGTTTTCCCTATTCCCTATTGTTGGAACGGCGAACAAATTTTCACTGCCAGAGTACTTGATGGAGTTTTGAAAGGTGACTCTAACTTTTGAGTCTGCAGACCAAATCCTATGATGTGACCATTCAAATGAAAGCTCTCTGCCTGTACTGTCACATGATTCTAGTTGTTTGTCAGAATTCTAGAAAATGAAATTTGGAAATTGGTCGAAATTTGCCTTTGACCACATTTGGCAGTGAAAGGGTTAAATAGGAAAACGGACTACTGCACTGGATCAAATGAGTACGTGAACTACAATCAATTTAAAGTACACAAAAAAGAAAAAGCATAAAAAACGAATTAATCAAGCAGCGATGTCAGCTTGAAATGATTCACCTCAGTAAAATCCCGGCCCTTTTTACCTGAGTCTCCGTGACAGCTGTCAATAAGTTGAAACCGTGAAAACAATTATTTGCTTCTATTCTTAGAACCGCAGCAAATAAAAATTGTTCAAAAGTAGGTAGTGCTATCCACCAGTTAAATCACTTTTATTTAGTGGATAAGTGTTAAGGAAACCAATTGCGTTATCCACTGGATAGATATTTATCCAATGAATAGACCTATCCACCTTTAGAACAACTGGGGCCAGTTGATCGAAAGCCGATTAGCACTAACCCGGGGTTAAATTTAAATCTAGGTTTTTTTTTTCTTTTTTCAAAAGAATTTTTCGGACAATTTTTTCCATTCTCTTTAGAGCATCCAATCATCCAATTGTTAACGAATAGAATTAGACAGGGACTAAATTTACTTTTATAGCTTTCATTTCTGAGTTTTAATTTCGCACTAACCCTGGGTTATCTTAACCCATCTTTGAACAACTCGGCCCTGGAGTTTGGAAGAAAGGGCGGGGAAACAGTTCCCTTACCAACTAATCAGGTTCTCGTCTTGATCTCAGTTTTCTCCACTTAAATATTCCATAGTAATATAGAAAGTATGCGATATATCTGTAAACTATATAACTTTATAAAATAACTAAGATAGTACGCGCCTTCTGATTGGTTAAAAGCCTATGGTTTATTGCTCCGGTAAACTCATAGTTTTACTTAAAGTTATTTTATAAAAGCAATAGACCACACTTTCTATGGGTTTACCGGCGTGATAACCCACTTGGGATGTTAAGAGAACACTCGAAAAGCGTGTGGTCTATTGCTTAAATAGGATTTCATTTGGAAACACAGACAGACAGACATGTACAAGGTAAAACGTGGATCCTTTTACCTTTAAAGTGATGCACCTTCCTTTCAAATCAAGTGCCTTTAGTCTCTTTTGTACCTCGTCGGCCAGTTCATTGATAAACTGAGTCGCTTCACTCTCCTAAAATAGAACAGGAAATGAAACGATCAGGGGCGATTCGCTCGTTGGTTTGTCTTCCATTAAAGGCATCTAGGATGTTTTCTGGTCAAAACTCCGCTAGCATCTCACCACGCACTGTATTTAGTTGGAACCCGAAAAACGTAATGAGACGAGATTTCAAACAGCCATATTGTTAGGCTATTTCAAGGGGTATCCATATATTTTTGTGGGACTGGAGGGCAACACAACATAGAGGACAGAGCGAAAACTCGCGAGGGGAACTGGGGAGAGCACGGAGGGCACAAGCAGAAGCGTTTCCTCCCTTTACCTTCTCCACTTCCCTTAGCCATTTTTGTTTTTCATTCTACTGAACTGTGAGTAGATATACTTCACAAAAACATCTCATCAAACTGCACATGCAAGCAACACCTAATTTTAGGAGGCAGCACCGTTGAAGAGTAATTTCTTCAATCCCCATGATGAAAGTTGACGTCTCGTAAACACTGTTACAAATGATATTACGGGCACTTTTCACTTACAAAGAGATTTCGGACCTTCCAGTTGAGATGCAAACGGAACACACATTTCTTTGGGTTGTTCCAGAAGAAAATTCTCTGGAATAGGTGGAGGAAACGCCTGTTCCTTTCAGGAGTTCTCACAGTTCACGCTATTGACGACTACATTCGTGCCGCCATTTTGAATTTTCAGGAGAGAAGCAAACGAATGGAACTCGTGTCAAATGAAACAAGATTTTCGCTCGATAGACATTTCCATCGAATTCTCCGGAATTTTTTTGGTGGCAAATGGAAAACGCCCCAAGACTACACAAAATCCTTCCTTACCTTTGTAAAGCGGATACCATAGTTGATCTCAGCAGATACAGATCTCCTTTCTCGCTCAGTTTTAAGATTTCTATCGTCTATGCCTCGGCAATACTGATACAAGAGGAGACCAGTCTTGGGACCAAACTCCTTCTGAAGCGCTTGGCAGCTAAATTTCTGTAAGTCTGCACACGTCTCTGCTCCCAGAGTTTGAAGTTTCTGTCCCAGGCTCCAACCGACTCCTGGCAGATCATCAACCTTCTGGGAAGCTGGAAAAAGAAAAAAAGAGAGAAAAAATCTGATGAGAACAACAAGGGCTATAGACGAAAGAGAACCTGGGTCGAGATAACTTTCGCAAAGACTTCTGGGATTGTTACTAGGGACAGTAGCCATCCCAGAAGCAATTGCGAGACGCATTTCGGCTCCAGTTACCTTGTTACTTCTCACTTCTTAATCGGTGAATGGATGTAATGTCACCAGAATCTATACCTCTTGGTTTCCACAAACGAACTGCGGTGAATCAGAAGTCCGCTACTGGAACGTTGCTTCTCAACAAGCAAAGGTCTCTTTGAACTTTATGGAGGCAGCGTGACCTAGGGGTTAAAACGTCCCACCCTAACCGCTAGCTGGACGTCTTGTCGGTAGTCCTAAGTTCAAATCCGCAAACCAAGCTGGAAAATAGTCAACTGGTTTGCCTTCAGCCAGTTGGGATTCTTAGCCTCATTAAGTATGACATAAATTCTTTGCTTCAGGAGTTTGCTCAGCCCCACTAGAATAAGTGCTATAAATACTGCCAAGGGCTCTGAAATTCGAAATGCCTTTAGTATTGCTGTGTTCACTTCTAAACTAAAGTCTTTTTCTTGGTATAAGCAAACTTTACTTCTCTAGCTACATGCTTGTGTGTAGTTTTTCGCTTCTTTCACTTTTTTTCTCGTACATTGTTGCATTATTTTTCTCACTTTTTCTTTTACGTTTGTACACTTGCACGTTCAGCCTAATCTATTTTTATCCTATTTAACGATTATTTTCTAGGTAGTAAAGAAATTGTATTTGCTTATATAGTTAAATTGTCTTGCCGATGCCAGTATTTTATTTATTAATTAGTTTTAATTATTTTATTTACAGATTATTTTATGTTTATTTATTAGGTGTTATTGGCTTCCTTAGGCTCCCTTGCCTCATCTTTTTATTTCAATTTCATGTATTTATTTAACTTTAATGGCAAAATGATAATAAAATAAATAAAAATAAAAAACAGAGGGCAAATACCAGAAATTTATTATTTATTTATCTATTTTAACAACAATAGAATGCTAGCAAATTAGGTGCAAATGCAATACGATCGCTGGAGATTGGTTTCCATATAATGGCTGAGATCACCACGAGGTAGAACTCTTTCCTTCTCGATTGTTACGAGCACCCGAGTTCACTCGCCCGCTTTCGAGTAAGTGTGCCGTTCATAATCTTTTACGGTTCGTTTTTGTAGAGGAAATTTAGCTTTAGATAACACAACTTGCGTGCTTTTACGCACACTGAAAGTATGTTGTACTTTTTCACACGGGGCTTTTGTTTAAAAACTTTAAAAGGCTCTTTTGTTCGACTAGCTCACGCTCAATTGTCTCAAGCGTGTCCTCTGAAAATAAAAAGATATCGCCGGAACAAAAGCACCGGTCGAATTACACAGTCATACACGATAAAACGCGCGAGCTAGGCAAGCTAAATAATCTGGTCTTTAAAGTGGAGTGATCCTCCATTCAGAGTAACAGATATTTTCTGCTGTAGAATTTATCAACGTAGGCTTCCATATAAAACCTAATACATTACTTACCCATAAACTGATTAACATCATCTTCATGTGAAAGGTGGTAACAGCCGTCAGGTTTAGCTACTCTGGTGCACAGTCTAGCAAGTAGAACATTAGAGCCAATACCAACAGATGCAGTACAGCGCGTTGCTTCCTTGATCTCCGCGCGAATCTTCTCTGCAAGCTGAGTAGGGGTTTCACCCTCTATGAATAACAAAATGAAGCAAATGATAAGGACCATTTCACAGGTCAGATGGTCTGTTCGCTGCCGGTTTGTTAGTGCTTTAACGCGGACTATATTCTGTATACATGTATGTCCTTTTCAGACATTTCGTCTAGTATTAAGCGAGCCTTCACATGAATTTAAAAAAGCACTTTAAACATGATTCAAAAAACAAAAATATATGTTGCGTCTCAAATTTAGCCTTGGTTCAATTTGTTTCATTATGTTATCTTGTCTTTGGAGATGGTCATGTATGTTAATCAACATCCGACAAGTACATTGATATTGAACCAACTGAAGGAAAAAAAATGTCTTGATTGATTTCACAGCACTTGCAAATTACTTTTACTTTGCTAGGTCAAAAGGCTGTCAGAATAACTTTCCTCGATTTACATACTACTTGTTAACCGATAGTGAGGTCATTATGGAATAGGTCATTATGGGGAAATCTCAGACCGAGGACGGTCGCTCGGTCAATACATCAAGGCCGAGGTCTGAGAGATTTCCCTGTAAAGACCGAACGGACGAAAAGAACAAGTTATCTATTAAGTGGCCTTTTCATTATGGACCTGAGCCTGCGATCAATGAAAACCAACAACTGGTCAGCGGAAACACGTCACCCTTGAAGGAGCCTCCAGCCAACCAACCTATGCCACTGATATTAATACTAGGAGTAATCGGAGCTTAGGAGAGTCCGTTCGATATGTTTGTTAGGCGTAGAGGTAGTAGTTGAGGGGGAAGGGTGGTTGCGATATAGATAAATATGATTATGGCATATCAAGTTTTGAACGTAAGGGTTGCGTACAGCGAAACCTCTATTTAAACTGTGCATCATTATAAGAAGGTTTTGAAAAGACATCGTATGGTTCGGTGTCAAGTGTTTGTAATCGGAGGAGACATTGGCCAGAGTGCGTCGGGCGTGTAAGTAGAACATTTTGTTTTACTGGCGCGAGTTACAGGGCGTAGTTGCTCAAAGGTCGATTAGTGCTTAACCCGGGATTCTTTTTCTTTCAAGTTCCAAAATATTTCTTCGGATAATTTTCTTTGTTATTTTTAAGAGCATCCAATCATCAACTTGTTGACAAAATGAACTAAATTGAATTTACTGTTTGAAAAGCTTTCACATCTGAATTCAAACTTCGCACTAACCTTGTGAAAGCCTTCAATGGAAAGTGTGTGCGGCTCACGTCAATAACTTTTCCAGTAATTTGGTCGAGCGTGTTGATTTCAGTGACTCGAGAGTGGCGCTACTGTGGGCTGGTTTGTAAGTTTTTCCTAATAAGTAACATAGAGTTAGTTGTCCGGTGCCGAAAATATCACAAGTCATGATCCAATGGCGCCGCCGAGCTACACAACTCGGTAAATTTACTTTGTGGCACAACGGCCGCCGAACTAAACCCGGTTTGATGCATGCACCAGGAGTCGCAGACATTTTCCAAAGACAGTGACGAACCATGCTGAAAAATATGAAGGCTTAATCCAAATTAAAATTTAACAGCAAACTTCTGAAAGATGAACGCTTTGGACGATTCAGCAAACACAGATCGATGTACGCTTTACGAAGATTCAGCAAACTTTTTAGAAGATGAACGCTTTACGAAGACAGAATATCAGACCTCAGACTGAAAACCTCTGAAAGATTAACGCCGAGGACACAAAAATCACCACACGAGTTAGCGCGTCAAAGTGAGGCAAAACGTAGGCAAGCGCCTCACAGCGAGGCAAATGTGTGTCGACGACGAAAATGCAATCTCAAAAAAACCTCCCTTATTACTTGCACAAGACACCCAATAATGCACAAGACACCCTACACAAATTAGGGGTTGCGTTCTCGTACCTCGAACGCAATTATAAAGGACATAAGGGGAGATGTAAAGAATCAACCATAAGAAAGCGATTTACCAATGTATTTCCGGTTCATACCTTCTAATGCCTCGGATACATCGATGTAAGCCTCGTCGCAGCTGACAGCTTCAATCTCATGACTGTACGAGACCAAAATGTCATAAAGCTTCTGTGATACTTGCCGATAGTCCTCAAACTGATAAGGAACGCAGTGGATGTCGGGACACAGTTTACGAGCTGGACCCAGGAACATTCCATTGCGAACACCAGCAGCTCGGGCTTCATAACTGCATGAAGCAATCTCCGACATCGAGTTAAAAAATGACGATGACGTCTTCGGTGACGTGTAAGGGTTATTTGCAGATGCTGGGAAAAATAATTATAATCAGTAATAAATCTTGTCTTGCGAGAGGGTATTGTCTTAAGCATTAGGACGATTAGGCCAAAGGCGGGCAAAAAAGGCTGGTTTTCACTAGCGATGGAGTCGGAGTCGTAGTCAGAAGCGTAGAACTTCACAATCTAGTGAAAACTGGGTCGTCGGTGTCGCAAGCAGAAGCGGAAGAACTAGACCAATCACAAAGCGTGGGAACGTGCATTGTGATTGGTTTATCCTTCCGCCTCTGCTTCTGACTCCAACAATCTTGTTTTCACTAGAACATAAGCGGAACGTAAGCGAAGGAGTCGTAAGAAAACAGAAACGTCCTGAATCTTCTGACTCCGATTCCGTCGCGCTTATGACTCCGCTTACGATTCCGGTTTTTGATTTTCACTAGGTCAAAAGCGCTCTTACGACTCCACTTACGACTCCAACTCCGACTCCGACTCCGACTCTGTCGCTAGTGAAAACCATCCTTTACAAGAGATAACTCCCCCCCCCACCCTCTAAGGTGCCCTTGACCAGTGAGTTTTTTGGGCAAATGAGGCTTGTTTAGACAATTGGGCTAAACAAGGGCAAAGGATCCGTCAAGCTTTTGCAGCACCAACAATAGACAAGACATTCGTTTTACTCTTCATGAAGTAGAATTTATCAGCAACACACAGCTGGGGGACACTGTGTGACGGAGAAGTATAGTGATAGCAGTAATAAATAATTATTCTTAGGGGATTTATCTTATTGTTGTAGTGGTTGCGAACAGTTGGAAAAAGTATAAAACACGACCCTCGTAACTCCGTGAAAGAGAGTGGCCGCACAGGCAAACCACTCTAAGCTACGGGTCAAATAATTAATCATCTCACAAAATAATGCTTTAAACAGCTCGTGACGGTGAAAAAACATGACAGATGACTAAGTTAGCATTTTACTTGACCTTTGCTTTCAAGAACATTTAGATTTAAATCTGTACTTTGGAGTGCACTGAATCCGCCATAATGTCCATCTGTATTTTTTCTATTGAGCATAACAGACCGTTGCTCAGATTGCAATAACGGCCACACAAACAGAGGGTGGTCTGCCTGTGGTGGCCAGGGGAGTGGTTTAGGTTTAGTCTAATGTAAGGTTCACCAAATGTAACATTTCAATCCCAAACCCTAGGGGGGTGGGGGACTCTTTTCATTAGATAATACTCTACACCCACCTTGGTCAGTTGAATTGCCTTTCCCTGCGTGACACACAGCAATCGGCTTTCCCCTGAGATGTGGTTGATCACGCAATGTCACAGAAACGAAGAATGAGTCCATATCTATATGCATAATCACCCGGCCATGAGGTCCAACCCGACCTGCTCCTCTACCCTTCCAACCATTGCCTGCGGAAGATTTGATGATTTCACTTGTGTACTTCTTGAATTCTGCTCCCCAGGTTGATAAATAATGCAATCTGGAATTGTTGTAGAATTCTGACACAAAGTTTGCATCGCCAGCTCGGGGCAAGCCACTTGTGCTTGGCTTTTTGAATACTGCACTGTCAGAAGCCTTCGTTGCTGTCTTTCCATCTACACTGGTAATTTCTTGTAAAGTAAGACTTGGTGCTTCAAGGTTTAAATCTCCTCCAATGTGTCCAGTATTTTCATCTTTATTGGCTTTTACAGCCTTCTCATGTGGCATATTATTTGTGGTACTGACTAAGTCTTTATTTCTTCCTGTCTCATCTCGATCTCTCACATTTTTTTCTGTTTCACAGTCTTCAATGTCTGCACTGACTTCATCACGCGATTCCATTGACGGTTCTCCCGTGGGGGGAGGTATTGATGACAAATGTACAGAAGATATATCCCCTAAGGGCAATCCCAAACTAGGTGACGTTGTTACTGAGGGGACTCCCATTGGGGAAGGTTTAGTTATTGTACATGTAGAAGTTGATTTGGAATTAGAAGCGAAATTTAGAACTTTCTGTGCAGCTTTTCTTGACTGATAAAGAAGGTACTGTGTAGCAGGGAGCAGAACACGAGCTTTGATGCTGTCTAAAATCCATGACGGATGTACTACAAGTTCATCCCTGCAAAGAAAACAGGAAAAAAATGCTTACAAAAAGGACTGGTACTGGTACAGGTAAGGTTCCGCAAGACAAGTCTTGCTACAATCTTGGACAAAATAGATGGAAAATTTGTACCCCTCCCCCCCACCCCCCAAATCAAGGATGGGAAAATGGCGCGTTTTGGCTTTGCGCGGCTTTATCCCTGATTTTGGGGGGACGGGGGATTGCTGTTCCATATTTTTCTGTCCAAGATTGTAGTTAGAATTATGAATAAAAATTACTATGGCTTTTACAAAGCAAAAGCTTATTGAGGTAGAAACTGTTTTCAAATTTATTAATTCGATCATTATTCCTTTACATCCTTGCTAATCAGCCCTCTGAGCCATGTTACCAGGCCCAAAAGTCAATGTACATGTACAATGTACCGGTAGATTACCTGAGCTCTGAAATTTTGCTGTTTGGTAGATTGGTGGCAATAATGTGTGTAACAGAACGTTTGGTGTAATACTGTTGGCAACGCCCTCCATGCAAGTACAATAGGCGACGAAGTTCATCAGCTGGTGGCACTGCAAATGAATAATTAAATATGCATGGTTATTAGCCAAACTACAGGGATGTATTCCAAAACTAATACAGTAGAACCCCGGTAACTCAAACTCTGAAAGGAAACAGTTCGAGTTATCTTTCATTGCTGCACATATATGGACATATATTTACATAGGGGAACATGTATGCAAACATACATGTAGCAAATCTACAAGCCTTCATGAGAACATAATTATATGTAACATATTTAAGTAACCTTTTTTACATATCTGTGACCTGCATGTATGGGTAACTGTGAAATATCACGCTAGAGAATACCCACAGTAAACGTGGTCCCATGTACATTAAGAAAACCTAACAAACAAAAGGCTTAAATCATGTTAAGTTGATCACCTGTATATCCATTAATGTAAATAACAACCTTGTCAAATATCTTAGGAACATCTCTGCAAAAAAGGCCAAAGATTAGAAAATCTACTCTAGCTTGTGTTAAATTACAAAATAATGAACACTGTATAATTTTCATTACAGAATTGCACTTATTGAAACGTGTCAATAGCAAATGCAAATTTTTCCATCAATCAAATGAATTGACTTATTTGTTTCCCTTGCATATGACTGGCTAAATTCTTACAATATTTGATGAAGTCAAGAATTAAAATAATTTACAGGTTGACAAAGATTACAGTTTCTAATGAAAATGAGCAAAATGCAATTTAAACATGCCATAAACCTAGGGGGGATACACCAGATTTGAAGAGATGGCATCATGGGGATGTATTTAAAGCATTACATTGTATCTGTTTCATAAAACTGGTTAATACCGGTATACCATTTTAACAGTATTTGGCATGGGATTTATTTATGAGCTGATTTTTGGTCCAAGGATTTTTTGGGTTTCTACTAGGGATTCACTTGGGTTTTGATTTTTGCCCACATTCAGTCATCCCCATCACTTGAAATACAGACTACCCCCCAGGCCACAACCATCTCATGTAAGACAAAGTATTGATTTGCTTCTGTTAAATTTCCTCTATATCATACGGAAACAATACGCTAACTCTGTCTTCACACAAAGAACATTGCCTGTGTAGGAATGTCTTGTGAGCATGGAAATAGCCACCGTAACCACGACTTTTAATGCAAGATTTTACATGTGTCTGGCTCTTGTCACAATCAGCAACCTCTGAAGGTCAGTGCATACTAATTTACTACAATGTAGGTTACTGGGTGCAAGATATAAAAATCAACAGTTACCATAAGAGGACACAGAAATATTTGAGCCCCAGATGGAATATGTGGACTCCCTGTTATTATGGGAAGTTTCCTTGGTCACTGGGGAAAACCCTTAATTTTTCTCTTTATTCAACCCACTTAATACAGACTGACCTGTTAAAGTGGATAATGGACGTTTTTTTCTTCCTCAATTAACAGATTCTCATATAAAGTCAACCTTGCTAATCCGCACACTTTATAGTCCATTGTGTGCTGTAGTCAAACTCTTTTTTTGTAGGGTAAAAAAACCTTTCACTTAATTAACGTCATGTCCATGTTCCCAGCATCATAGTACACCAAAACGAATGAATTGTGCACTACCATTTTGACATCAATCGAGTTGGTAAATGTTACATAATTTTTATCGATTTTCTAGAGACTCTCGTGTGTTTTCATGGACGCAGTCTGCAGAATAAGAACTTAGTGATGTTTAAAGATGTTAGGTGTGATGCTGTAGTATTTTGATAAAAAAGTGTATTTTTGACTTTTATAACAGGACCTGCTTGATATGGACACCTCTGTTATATAGACACTTCCTATGGCCCCTTCAGTGTCCATATCAATGGAGTTTGACTGCAATTATGAAATATGGAACAGTTTGGTAAGATCGATCATTTGGTGCCCTGTTTTAAGTGTATATTCAGCCATTCTTCACATTTTCCACCTTGCAAAGGCCTAAGGCAAAGTAAAGTAACAAATAAATAATAAATTAAAAAATTATATGAGCAATCGAAAATATAGGCATTTTTTTATGTACCTCAATCTGTGTACATTTATTTCATTGAAATGAAAGGGTCATCCAGGGATGACCAATGCTCTTATTGTCAGCATGGACATTTTAATTCAGTAATCGAAAATTGCACTGGTTTGCACTCTTGCATAATTCCTTCTTTGAAGGCCTTCCCTTGCCTTGAGGTTCTGCAGGCAATAGCAGTTTAAGGAGTGTTCCTTCCACACAAACAGTTTTATTCCTTGCTTTCTCCCTTAACCCGAATTTAAATGATAAACGTCTCTCCTACAAGCCGAACACACTTTCTGTGGACGGATTTCTCTGGAGTCCAGCCCAATATCTACGCGAAAGAAGTTCAAAAGTTCCCTTCGAAACGCTGTTTTGTCGCAGATCTGGACAATTTTGACTTTAGAGAAAGTTTTCCCACACAAACGGCATCTTCTTTCCAACAAACCAAGGTGCTTTTCCATCCGACTGCAAAATAACGTAAAATAAACATGGCGTTACAAAACCTGCGCAACTGACTTTTGCATCGTTAAAAGCACAGCACTATGTAAAACTGCTTTGCACTACACCAAACAGACCACTATCAACAAGCAAATTTTATGTAGATTTCAAAAAAAAATTTTTTCCAAAGGTCCAAAAAATGACACTCACCTTCTTTTTTTCGATGTTTTGCTCCTTGTCGGGCATTTCTTTGAGCTGAAAAACTCTCGTGTTCGGTCGTTTTACCTCCAAAGAACGCACAAACGCTCATCGGACGGCATTTTTTCTTCACACCCCTGATTTCTCATTGTCTAAAGTCACAGCTCTAAAAGTAGTATGGAGAAAGGACACTTCTAGGCGCAGCAAAGAGCCAGGAAGTGACCTTCCCTCGTGTTTCTCGGCGTAGGCGCCATTTTGCAAATGTGCGTGACGTCATCATATATCCAGATCTGGTTGTGGCCTGAACTGATTAAGTTTGACATAAATTCTATGCTTCAGGAGTTTGCTCAGCCCCACGAAAATTAGTGCTATAAATACTGCCAAGGGCTCTGAAATTCAAAATGCCTCTAGTATTGCTGTGTTCACTTCTAAACTAAAGTCATTTTTCTTGGTATAAGCACACTTTACTTCACTTAATGCTTGTGGGTAGTTTTTCGCTTCTTTCGGCTTTTTTTCTCATACATTCTTGCATTATTTTTCTCAAGTTTTCTTTTTCGTTTTTGCACTTGCACCTTTAGCCTTAACTATTTTAATCCTAATCAATGATTATTTTCTATGTTGCAAAGAAATTGTATTTGCGTATATAGTTAAATTGTCTTGCCGATGCCAGTATTTTATTTATCAATTAGGTAATATATTTTTAAAGGTGGTCCTTTTCATAAGCCTTATTGGCTTCCTTAGGCTCCCTTGCCTCATCTTTGTATTTCAATTTTATGAATATATTTAACTTGAATGGCAACATGATAATAAAAGAAATAAAAATAAAAAACAAAGGGTAAGTAATGGAAATTTAGTATTTTTTTTATTTATTTTAACAGCAACAGACTGCTAGCGAAGTAAGTGTAAATGTATTACAAAAACAACGTTCTTAAATCGCTTTCTCGCAAACACAGGAACCAACGTAAAAATTGACAGTACTATTTCAAGTTCCGTTCAGGCCGTAAGGGGTCACAAAAATGGTTTATAGGTTGTGTTCACTAATAAAGTCATTCTTAACGAGTGCATGTACTTGTAATCTAGTAATAACCAAAGGTTACGGAGTGCGGGCAACAACGATCGAAGTTCAAAACGCTTTTGCGCCATAGCTGTGCGTTGCGTAAGTTTCACGTGACAGATGGTCCAAACACACGTCATCAGATTACAAGTGACAGAACGTCCAAACGCGCATGATCAAATTGCGCTCTGTGCATTCCATTCATTCTTAGTAGAGGTCCAAAAGAAAGCAGGATACATACGTGCGACGCATGCGTAATAACAACCTGGAGATTGGGATTGCGGACTCCTGTTGTCGCCCACAATAAATATTCAAGAAACAAGCCCCAGTACATGCATTAGAGAAAGACTTCCAGCGTTGATCACGCGCTTTGTGAATTTTTGGGAAGCCGGCACTCCCTCTCCCACGAGACCAGTCAAAAAGCTATTTGTTAAACAGCCAATGAAAGAAAACTTTAAGGTGGAGAAATGAATTAAAGTAAATCTCTGCGAGTGGTCAACATTCGCGTGTAACAGTACACAGGGAATTTTGGCAGGAAAACGTTTTAATGCCAGAAGTCGCGTGATCTTGAAGTAACCAATGAGAACACGCATTGATGGAGAACTGAAAAAAATCAGTATATGTCCACAACAGAAATTATGAGCCAAATCTCCAAGCTTCTACAGTCTTGCCTACAAATTTCTGGTAGTTTTGCTGTCGCTATGAGCCTACTATTGCTGGAGATATGTTTCCATATAATCGCTGCGATCACCACGAGGTAGAACTTTTTCTTTCTCGATTGTTAATACGAGCACCCGAGTTCACTCGCCCGCATAAGCCCAGAAAAGGGTGCCATTTGTAATCTTTTACGGTTCGTTTTTGTAGAGAAAATTTAGCTTTAGAAAATACGCCTTTCGTGCTTTTACGCACACTGAATGCGTGTTGTTGTTGTTGTTGTTGTTTTTGCACGGAGGTTATGTTTAAAAACTTTAACAGGCTCTTTTGTTTGACTTGGTCCTGCTTAATTGTCTCAAGCACAGGGCCTCCACACAATGTGTGTGTAACCGATTATTATTTTATAGTAAATTTACTGGATTTACCGTTTGCTACACCTATAACGATATATCGCTAGTTCGCAGTTTACTGTTCCTAAGAAAAGAAGGTCCTTCTATTATTAGGAACTGTAAACGGCAAACTCAAAATCCTTTAAAAGTGGCTCAAAAAACCGCTTTTGAGGTAAAAGGACGACGATTTACCACAGGTAAGGCAATTCAACGCTTATTTAACACTGATTTATATACATACTTATGGATATATCGTTGTAGGTGAAGAAAACAGTAAATCACACACACATTGTGTGGGCTCCCTGTGTTGCATTACACACACATTGTCTGGGCTCCCTGTGTTATCAAGCGTGTTCTCAGAAAAAAAACAATAGATATCGCGGGCTTTTGAGCCTAAACAAAGGCAACAAAAGCACCGGTCGAATTACGCAGTCACGTGCGATACAACGCACGAGCTAGGCAAGCTAAATAATCTGGTCTTTAAAGTGGAGTGTCCCTCCATTCAAAGTAACAGACATTTTCTGCTGTAGGATTTATCAAGGTAGGCTTCCCTATAAAACCTGATACATTACTTACCCATAAACTGATTAACATCAACTTCATGTGAAAGGTGATAGCAGCCGTCAGGTTTAGCTACTCTGGTGCACAGTCTAGCGAGTAGAACATTGGAGCCAATACCAACAGATGCAGTACAGCGCGTTGCTTCCTTGATCTCCGCACGAATCTTCTCTGCAAGCTGAGTAGGGGTTTCACCCTCTATGAATAACAAAATGAAGCAACCGATAAGGGCCAATTAATGGGTCAGATGGTCTGTTCGCTGCCGCTTTGTTAGTGCTTTAACGCGGACTATATTCTGTATACATGTATGTCCTTTTCAGACATTGCAAATAGTATTGAGCGAGCCTTCACATGAATTTAAAAAAGCACTTTAAACGTGATTCAAAAAACAAAAGTATATGTTTCGTCTCAAATTTAGCCTTGGTTCAATTCGTTTAGTTATGTTATCTTGTCTTTGGAGATGGTCATGTATGTTAATGAACATCCGGCAAGAACATTTGATATTGAACCAACTGAAGGAAAAAAATGTCTTGATTGATTTGACACCACTTGCAAATTACTTTTACTTTGCTTGGTCAAAAGGCTGTCAGAATAAGCTTCCTTGATTTACATACTACTTACTGACGGATAGTGAGGTCATTACGGGGAAATCTCAGACCGAGGACGGTCGCTCGGTCAATACATCAAGGCCGAGGTCTGAGAGATTTCCCTGTAAACAACGAACGGACGAGGTGAACAACTTATCAATTAAGTGGCCTTTTCATTATGGACCTGAGCCTGCGATCAATGAAAACCAACAACTGGTCAGCGGAAACACGTCACCCTTGAAGCAGCCTCCAACCAACCAACCTAGGAGTACTCGGCGCTTAGGAGAGTGCGTTCGATATGTTTGTTAGGCGTAGAGGTAGAAGTTGAGGGGGAAGGGTGGTTGCGATATAGATAAATATGATTACGGCATATTTTAAACGTAAGGGTTGCGTACAGCGAAACCTCTATTCAAACTGTGCATCATTATAAGAAGGTCTTGAAAAGATATCGTATGGTTCGGTGTCAAGTGCTTGTAATCGGAGGAGACATTGGCCAGAGTACGTCGGGCGTGTAAATAGAACATTTTGTTTTACTGGCGCGAGTTGCAGGGCGCAGTTGCTCAAAGGCCGATTAGTGCTTAACCCGGGATTCTTTTTCTTTCTTCCAAAACATTTCTTCGGATAATTTTCTCTGTTATTTTTAAGAGCAATGTAGTGTTCTGCATTCTTGTTATTCATTCTTGTTATTCTTGTTATCCACACCCTAACCGCAGATTATAGCAAGATATCATTGTACATATTAAATAGTTGATTGAGTTGTAATAAAGCAGTTGTGTAAAGCACGTGGCCTGATTCAGTTTGTACCAACCCAAAGTACACAACAAGCATCCAATCATCAACTTGTTGACAAAATGAATTACATTGAATTTACTGTTTGAAAAGCTTTCACATCTGAATTCAAACTTCGCACTAAACCTGTCAAAGCCTTCAATGGAATGTGTGTGCGGCTCACGTCAATAACTTTTCCAGTAATTTGGTCGAGCGTGTTGATTTCAGTGACTCGAGAGTGGCGCTACTGTGGGCTGGTTTATAAGTTTTTCCTAATAAATAACATAGAGTTAAAGTGTTCGTTTGTCCGGTGCCGAAAATATCACAAGTCACGATCCAACGGCGCCGCCGAGCTACACAACTCGGTAAATTTACTTTGTGGCACAACGGCCGCCGAAGTAAACCCGGTTTGATGCATGCACCAGGAGTCGCAGACATTTTCCAAAGACAGTGACGAACCATGCTGAAAAGTATGAAGGCTTAATCCAAATTAAAATTTAACAGCAAACTTCTGAAAGATAAACGCTTTGGACGATTCAGCAAACACAGATCGATGTACGCTTTACGAAGATTCAGCAAACTTTTTAAAAGATGAACGCTTTACGAAGACAGAATATCAGACCTCAGACTGAAAACCTTTAAAAGATGAACGCCGAGGACACAAAAATCACCACACGAGTTAGCGCGTCAAAGTGAAGCAAACGTAGGCAAGCGCCTCACAGCGAGGCAAATGTGTGTCGGCGACGAAAATGCAATCTCAAAAAAACCTCCCTTATTAATTGCACAGGACACCCAATAACGCACAAAACACCCTACACAAATTAGGGGTTGCGTTCTCGTACCTCGAACGCAATTATAAAGGACATAAAGGGAGATGTAAAGAATCAACCATAAGAAAGCGATTTACCAATATATTTCCGGTTCATACCTTCTAATGCCTCGGATACATCGATGTAAGCCTCGTCGCAGCTGACAGCTTCAATCTCATGACTGTACGAGACCAAAATGTCATAAAGCTTCTGTGATACTTGCCGATAGTCCTCAAACTGATAAGGAACGCAGTGGATGTCGGGACACAGTTTACGAGCTGGACCCAGGAACATTCCATTGCGAACACCAGCAGCTCGGGCTTCATAACTGCATGAAGCAATCTCCGACATCGAGTTAAAAAATGACGATGACGTCTTCGGTGACGTGTAAGGGTTATTTGCAGATGCTGGGAAAAATAATTATAATCAGTAATAAATCTTGTCTTGCGAGAGGGTATTGTCTTAAGCATTAGGACGATTAGGCCAAAGGCGGGCAAAAAAGGCTGGTTTTCACTAGCGATGGAGTCGGAGTCGTAGTCAGAAGCGTAGAACTTCACAATCTAGTGAAAACTGGGTCGTCGGTGTCGCAAGCAGAAGCGGAAGAACTAGACCAATCACAAAGCGTGGGAACGTGCATTGTGATTGGTTTATCCTTCCGCCTCTGCTTCTGACTCCAACAATCTTGTTTTCACTAGAACATAAGCGGAACGTAAGCGAAGGAGTCGTAAGAAAACAGAAACGTCCTGAATCTTCTGACTCCGATTCCGTCGCGCTTATGACTCCGCTTACGATTCCGGTTTTTGATTTTCACTAGGTCAAAAGCGCTCTTACGACTCCACTTACGACTCCAACTCCGACTCCGACTCCGACTCTGTCGCTAGTGAAAACCATCCTTTACAAGAGATAACTCCCCCCCCCACCCTCTAAGGTGCCCTTGACCAGTGAGTTTTTTGGGCAAATGAGGCTTGTTTAGACAATTGGGCTAAACAAGGGCAAAGGATCCGTCAAGCTTTTGCAGCACCAACAATAGACAAGACATTCGTTTTACTCTTCATGAAGTAGAATTTATCAGCAACACACAGCTGGGGGACACTGTGTGACGGAGAAGTATAGTGATAGCAGTAATAAATAATTATTCTTAGGGGATTTATCTTATTGTTGTAGTGGTTGCGAACAGTTGGAAAAAGTATAAAACACGACCCTCGTAACTCCGTGAAAGAGAGTAGCGGCACAGGCAAACCACTCTAAGCTACCGGTCAAATAATTAATCATCTCACAAAATAATGCTTTAAACAGCTCGTGACGGTGAAAAAACATGACAGATGACTAAGTTAGCATTTTACTTGACCTTTGCTTTCAAGAACATTTAGATTTAAATCTGTACTTTGGAGTGCACTGAATCCGCCATAATGTCCATCTGTATTTTTTCTATTGAGCATAACAGACCGTTGCTCAGATTGCAATAACGGCCACACAAACAGAGGGTGGTCTGCCTGTGGTGGCCAGGGGAGTGGTTTAGGTTTAGTCTAATGTAAGGTTCACCAAATGTAACATTTCAATCCCAAACCCTAGGGGGGTGGGGGACTCTTTTCATTAGATAATACTCTACACCCACCTTGGTCAGTTGAATTGCCTTTCCCTGCGTGACACACAGCAATCGGCTTTCCCCTGAGATGTGGTTGATCACGCAATGTCACAGAAACGAAGAATGAGTCCATATCTATATGCATAATCACCCGGCCATGAGGTCCAACCCGACCTGCTCCTCTACCCTTCCAACCATTGCCTGCGGAAGATTTGATGATTTCACTTGTGTACTTCTTGAATTCTGCTCCCCAGGTTGATAAATAATGCAATCTGGAATTGTTGTAGAATTCTGACACAAAGTTTGCATCGCCAGCTCGGGGCAAGCCACTTGTGCTTGGCTTTTTGAATACTGCACTGTCAGAAGCCTTCGTTGCTGTCTTTCCATCTACACTGGTAATTTCTTGTAAAGTAAGACTTGGTGCTTCAAGGTTTAAATCTCCTCCAATGTGTCCAGTATTTTCATCTTTATTGGCTTTTACAGCCTTCTCATGTGGCATATTATTTGTGGTACTGACTAAGTCTTTATTTCTTCCTGTCTCATCTCGATCTCTCACATTTTTTTCTGTTTCACAGTCTTCAATGTCTGCACTGACTTCATCACGCGATTCCATTGACGGTTCTCCCGTGGGGGGAGGTATTGATGACAAATGTACAGAAGATATATCCCCTAAGGGCAATCCCAAACTAGGTGACGTTGTTACTGAGGGGACTCCCATTGGGGAAGGTTTAGTTATTGTACATGTAGAAGTTGATTTGGAATTAGAAGCGAAATTTAGAACTTTCTGTGCAGCTTTTCTTGACTGATAAAGAAGGTACTGTGTAGCAGGGAGCAGAACACGAGCTTTGATGCTGTCTAAAATCCATGACGGATGTACTACAAGTTCATCCCTGCAAAGAAAACAGGAAAAAAATGCTTACAAAAAGGACTGGTACTGGTACAGGTAAGGTTCCGCAAGACAAGTCTTGCTACAATCTTGGACAAAATAGATGGAAAATTTGTACCCCTCCCCCCCACCCCCCAAATCAAGGATGGGAAAATGGCGCGTTTTGGCTTTGCGCGGCTTTATCCCTGATTTTGGGGGGACGGGGGATTGCTGTTCCATATTTTTCTGTCCAAGATTGTAGTTAGAATTATGAATAAAAATTACTATGGCTTTTACAAAGCAAAAGCTTATTGAGGTAGAAACTGTTTTCAAATTTATTAATTCGATCATTATTCCTTTACATCCTTGCTAATCAGCCCTCTGAGCCATGTTACCAGGCCCAAAAGTCAATGTACATGTACAATGTACCGGTAGATTACCTGAGCTCTGAAATTTTGCTGTTTGGTAGATTGGTGGCAATAATGTGTGTAACAGAACGTTTGGTGTAATACTGTTGGCAACGCCCTCCATGCAAGTACAATAGGCGACGAAGTTCATCAGCTGGTGGCACTGCAAATTAATAATTAAATATGCATGGTTATTAGCCAAACTACAGGGATGTATTCCAAAACTAATACAATAGAACCCCGGTAACTCAAACTCTGAAAGGAAACNTTAGAATTATGAATAAAAATTACTATGGCTTTTACAAAGCAAAAGCTTATTGAGGTAGAAACTGTTTTCAAATTTATTAATTCGATCATTATTCCTTTACATCCTTGCTAATCAGCCCTCTGAGCCATGTTACCAGGCCCAAAAGTCAATGTACATGTACAATGTACCGGTAGATTACCTGAGCTCTGAAATTTTGCTGTTTGGTAGATTGGTGGCAATAATGTGTGTAACAGAACGTTTGGTGTAATACTGTTGGCAACGCCCTCCATGCAAGTACAATAGGCGACGAAGTTCATCAGCTGGTGGCACTGCAAATTAATAATTAAATATGCATGGTTATTAGCCAAACTACAGGGATGTATTCCAAAACTAATACAATAGAACCCCGGTAACTCAAACTCTGAAAGGAAACCAAAAACAGTTCGAGTTACCAGGGAATTCAAGTTATCGGGGTAAATTTCTGTGAAATTGTGATCAAAGGGAAGGAAATTTAGTTCGAGCTAGTGGGGAGTTCAAGTTATCTGAGTTCAAAGTATCTAGACACTCATTCAACCACCAATAATAAACACTAATAAGAATAGCTAGTCACTACATGTTAGAAAATGGATCCAGCTTTATTGAGGTCCTAGGAGATCAAGTAATCCCTCACTGTTAAATAATTGGCAGGTAGCCTTTACCAAAACCACATATATGTCACATACATGTAACATAATTTTATTATATAAACACCAATGAAATACCAGGAGCTTTCACGCAAAAACTTGATATCTTCACACGTGAAAATATCACCGTTGCTGTGGCTACATAATAAATCGCGCCTTTCACACCAAAAAACTATTAAAGTGAAATGGTTTACTATTTCATTGGTGTTTATATTAATAGAACATTACATGGCCGCTTGGGGATACAAAATTTCTCTTCTCGTGTCGAAAAAATATTTTGCTTGTTCGCTGCGCTCACTCGTGAAATATTTTTCAGCACTTGAAGAGAAATTTCGTATTTCCGCGTGGCCATGTAATATCCTCTATATCTTTCATTGCTGCACATATATGGACATATACTTACATGGAGGAACATGTATGCAAACATACATGTAGCAAATCTACAAGCTTTCATGAGAACATATATGTAACTTATTTAAGTAACCTTTTTTACATATCTGTGACCTGCATGTATGGGTAACTGTGAAATATCAAGTTAGAGAATACCCTCAGTAAACGTGGTCCCATGTACATTAAGAAAACCTAACAAACAAATAGCTTATTTATCATGTTAAGTTGATCACCTGTATATCCATTAATGTAAATAACAACCTTTTCAAATATCTTAGGAACATCTCTGCAAAAAAGGCCAAAAGATTAGAAAATAGACTCTAGCATGTGTTAAATAACAAAAAAATGAACATTGTATAATTTTCATTACAGAATTGCACTTATTGAAACGTGTCAATAGCAAATGCAAATTTTTCCATCAATCAAATGAATTGACTCATTTGTTTCCCTTGCATTCGACTGGCTAAATTTTTACAACATTTGACGAAGTCAAGAATTAAAATAATTTACAGGTTGACAAAGATTACAGTTTCTAATGAAAATGAGCAAAATGCAATTTAAACATGCCATAAACCTAGGGGGGATACACCAGATTTAAAGAGATGGCATGCATAGTGGGGATGTATTTAAAGCATTACATTGTATCTGTTTCATAAAACTGGTTAATACCGGTATACCATTTTAACAATATTCGGCATGGGATTTATTTATGAGCTGATTTTTGGTCCAAGGATTTTTTGGGTTTCATTAGAAACCCTAGGGATTCACTTGGGTTTTGATTTTTGCCCACATTCAGTCATCCCCATCACTTGAAATACAGACTACCCCATCTCATGTAAGACAAAGTATTGATTTGCTTCTGTCAAATTTCCTCTATATCATACGGAAACAATACGCTAACTCTGTCTTCACGCAAAGAACATTGCCTGTGTAGGAATGTCTTGTGAACATGGAAATAGCCACCGTAACCACAACTTTTAATGCAAGATTTTACATGTGTCTGGGTCTTGTCACAATCAGCAACCTCTGAAGGTCAGTGCATACTAATTTACTACAATGTAGGTTACTGGGTGCAAGATATAAAAATCAACAGTTACCATAAGAGGACACAGAAATATTTGAGCCCCAGATGGAATTCAAACCCATGACCCTCCGTGTTCTAGATCAGATGCTCTAAAAATTGAGCTACTGAGGACTCGTTGGCAAGCAAGGATCATTTTTGTGCGTGATTACGTGATGCTGTTGGTAAGTCCAACCCACAAAAATGACCCTTGTTTGTCCTCTCATGGTTGATCCTTTATATCTCCCTTTAATCCCCTTTATTATATAATGAGTGGCATAGGTTACTTGGTGTAAGGTTAATAAAAATAACATAGTGAAGTTCACAGCTATTGTAGAAAAGTCAGATTCACTTCCTAGTTCTAACACAGATACATGTATATGAATAAAATTAGTAAGTTGACTTACACATCATCTGGCACTTTTGGAACATCCTCTTTAAACTGAGCATCTAATTTCTGTACTTTAGCTTGCATATATTCACCCTGATGAGAATTTTGATACAAACTATTGTTATAAAATTAGTATTAAATTTATTGCTGGCAAGGTGTGGAATAAGATAAATCGTAGTATATGCAATAGAACCCCGATAACTTGATCTCAGTTAACTCGAACTCCTAATAACTCAAGCTAACTCCAATTTTCCTTGGATTTCCCCCCACTTTTCAGTTATTTTTACTTGGTTAACTCAAACTCAGACAATTCTAATTCCCCATGCTCACTCAAACTAAATTTTCTTTCCCTTGATCAAAATTTCACTGAAATTTATCCCGATAACTTGAATTCTGGTCCTTGTAACTCCACTTGGATGCCATCCTATTAGCTCTTCTTGTTGCATAATCAGTAAAAACAGTAAAACAAACACTACAGCAATTTGATTTTAATTGGTATAACGAACAGAACCAATTGTAGCTACTCAGTAGCATGTACTAGCCCCTGAGTCATTTTAACTAGCCAAACAAAGTTTTTGATGAGCAGGATTTATAATGAATTAATTACACCACTAGTCAATTACCTGTAATAAGTCATTGTAATAATAAGTGTATTAATTTCTCTACATCAGATTCAGGATTGAAAAACAGCAATCGATTCCCATAAATTAAGCTTAATAGACCCTGCTACGATTTTGGAAGACATCTTGATGAGTAGGCAACTGCGTGGGAAATTACAGTGTTTGTATGAGTGTCTAATGTCGAATAATTTCCGTAAAATGGCTCTTCTGAAAAAAATATGAAAAACTACAGCTTCACTCCTAAGGATTCTACTGAAAAAATCTGAGGGTATTACATGCAGCTACATGCGCTAGAACCACTTTTTAAAATGTTCTATACATTTGTATGTAAAAAAAGTTTTTTCCTGCTGACTAACCATTACGGAACGGCACCTGTAGATCCGCGTCGCCCGCAAAATCGCAGGTCCCATGACTATTTACACGCTCACAAAGGAAGCCGACGCATGTCGCGTCCTTTGATTCAAGACTCAAGTGTTAGCGTATTGTTTCCACAATACAAAGGTAATTTAACTTGAGAAAATCAATAGATCAAAGCTTTCGCGCTACTCTCAGTTTTATAAGGAAATGCAAAAGCTCAACTTGATAAATTTTTTGACTTCATAAGACATTTTAACGATTTAGGCCAGCAGAATGTATAGAATTCCAGAAAAACAATTCAGAAAGTCGAACGGTTTTGAACTGCGCTGGAAATTGTTTTTATCAGTAGGCAAATCACCTACCCAATCACTTACTTTCCATTGAACTGAAATATCCTAAACTTTTTTTACCACTTTTCGATTTGCTTCGTTTCATTTTATATTATTTTGTGCAAGCTGAGTTCTTTCATGTGAATTTACCCTTTCAAAAGGAAAAAAACGTCGAGGAAACGTTGTGTTTACAACCACGGCAATTTGTATCTACTTCGCTTCACTTACGCTTATGTGCAAATTACTGTTCATCCGCCAGAGTTCGCTGGAGACAAAAACGTCGATTTTGAATTCCCAGATGCTTGCCTTTTTGGGCACCCTTTTTATTTTGGCTATCAAGATTTTAAAAGCTAAGCTTCAGACTTTTCATTCCAACATTTTAATGCGGGAAAGTTATGAGAAATGCTGCAACTGATTAAAGTCACGCAACACGTTTTAAGACGGCATAACTTGATCTTTCTGTTATCTTTTGTTCTTCTATTGTCTCTAAAACAATAACGATGTTTCACCAATTTCCACCTACAAATAATAGGAGTGACATTTGATTGACAAAAATTTGCATTTATTCGCGACGCGTTTCTACAGGCGCGATTCCGTAATGATTTCCTGGGAAAAATTGCAGACAAATATTAGCTTATGGAAAATCTAAAGCAAGAGTCTGGAGAAATTTAAGCATGGGTACGGGACCCACAAATTTGTTACTAGAATCCTTTGCTGTGCGGCTTTAGTGTACAATTCATTTTTTTTTTCAGAACAGCTGTTTTACAGAAATTATTTGACATTAGATTCACATACAAACGACATCTCTTGGACACTTAGTCGAAAAATTTTCCCACCACCTCCCTTGAGTCTGACCTGCCACTGTCTACATCTTCTTATAGTTTTATCTTCTTTATTTTGTCATAAGTATTTGCTAATTTGTGGCAGATTTTTTGTCCCCACCTTTCCCTGAAGAGATGTCGATTAGTTATTTTTATCGTTGGTTTCAATTAAAAATGTCAGGCTTGTGACAGTAATTTCTCACGCGGTAGCCTACTAATCAAGATGGCTCCCAAAACTGTGACAAGGTCTACTTATAGAACATTTTTTTCCCAAAAAAAACTGTGGGGCTGGCAAGTTCTACTACTCTAGTGGCAAAATCAACAAGCTCCAGGCTATGGGACACAACTATCTTTGCCATCGATTGATCAATTGATTTTCTGATCATCTATTTTCATCGATTGTATTTTTTTTTTCAGAACAGCTGTTTTACAGAAATTATTTGACATTAGATTCACATACAAACGACATCTCTTGGACACTTAGTCGAAAAATTTTCCCACCACCTCCCTTGACTCTGACCTGCCACTGTCTACATCTTCTTATAGTTTTATCTTCTTTATTTTGTCAGTATTTGCTAATTTGTGGCAGATTTTTTGTCCCCACCTTTCCCTGAAGAGATGTCGATTAGTTATTTTTATCGTTGGTTTCAATTCAAAATGTCAGGCTTGTGACAGTAATTTCTCACGCGGTAGCCTACTAATCAAGATGGCTCCCAAAACTGTGACAAGGTCTACTTATAGAACATTTTTTTCTCAAAAAAAACTGTGGGGCTGGCAAGTTCTACTACTCTAGTGGCAAAACCAACAAGCTCCAGGGTATGGGACACAACTATCTTTGCCATCGATTGATCGATTGATTTTCTGATCATCGATTTTCATCGATTGTTCAGGTCCTGAACAAATTAAATTTGCGCCAATTTGGCGCGACAGTACAATCAACTCTTGCGTACACTCGTATAGAAGCCTCGGTATCAGCTGACAACTCACCCAGCCACTCCAGTCTCCTTTTATTACATTTCCGTCGTCTGCTTTCTTCTTTGCAGGTCTCCTTTCCATACCGAAAGTTACTTTCAAAACGCAGCTAAGCCGATTTCACCCGCAGTCGCCCGCCATTTTTGTTTCAACTTATTCCAGTTTTTCTCCGAAAAATTGAAGGCGCGGTAACTTAATGTTGCCAGGCAACGTTGTCACCAAAAAGAGAAGAAAGCAAGATGTCGGATTTCGAGGACGAAGAAGGAGTAGATGAACCGGTCTTAGATGATGAAAATGAAGATGAAGGACAAGAAGAAGAAGAGGTTCGTGTTTCTAAAAACCTAAGCTATCAATATTCATGCTTACTGCATATCGAACAATTTGAGACTAGCTGTAAAATTGGGTTTTTACGTTCTTGTTTTGGCGCGCTTTTTAATTTTGACTGATTTTTTTTTTCACTTTTTGTGTATCTGTGCGCATCTAGAAACCCCCGGAGAATCCCCTAACGGAGGAAATGTTAGCAGACAGCCTTTCTTTGCTGTGTAAGACCGGAGATGGACTAGCACATGCATATGTGCGCCTCGATATTCATGAAAAGTAAGCTCAAGGACTCTGTAACTCTGTAATTAAGAATTGCGCTTTTGCAGGTATAAGCTTGTATTGTATCTTGTAGATGATCACTCAGGGCTTTGTGATCTGTACAACTGTAAACTTATGTGTATACTGTGAATAATTTGTGTATATGAAGGGATCTGAACAACTGAAGTCCATAAATTTACGACGCAACATGATGTTGACGTTTCAAATGTTTGTTACGTTCGTGTTATTTGATTGTTCATCATTGGCAGATATTCTGAAACTGCTATTATGTAATTTCTAATAACATTATTGGGTACATGTAAACGCAGGGGTTTCGATAAAAATATGAAGTAGCCAGCAGGTTTGAATAGAGTAACCGACTGTATCAACAAGTGGCCATTAGTTCCCCTCAAGATGTTGGATGGCAGAGGGTCTGGTCGGGCGCATTCTGCTCTAGAAAATTTTGAAATTTGAAAGCCCTAAAACAGTGTAAAATGCAATTTTCAGTGTTCTGGTGACTAAATTTGAGGACAAAACAGCATGTGTTATAAAGAAACTTGTGAAAAAATGACTGAAATATAGCATGACTGAAGTATAATGAAATCAGTGGGCCTCATAATTACGGTACTTGTGCATTCAGATTTTATGATATATTTTCTGTTTACAGCATTATTCAAATTAGTTGCTTATTTCTGGAAAAAGTAGCCGACCTCTATGGGTAAAGTAGCTGACATGTTTCTTTGGCCATCGGTCCTTATTGAAACCCCTGTAAACATATGGCACAATGCACAAATAAAATAAGAATAATAACAGCTTTGAATAAAAATGAAATAATAAGTAAGTTCATTAAGAAAAAAATTTATTTATTTATTTATACATGATTAAATAAAGTGGGAAAAGTTCTATACCCAAGAAGCCTCCTGCCCATAACATTCTTAGGGCTTAGTCACACGCCCCTTCCCAACGATTTTCTGCTGAAAAAAGCAGTTTAGACAGTATACAGAATCCAAGACTGCGATGCATTATGAGGCGAACCAGTGTTCAAGTATTAACCGGTCCTATCTTTATCTACAGGGAACTGACAGACATAAGCATTCTAAACTGCTTCATTCACTTAAGATACGTGGTAAGAACAAACTCTAATAATCTAATCATAAAGCAATGTTTTTGTTGGTCAGAAGTAATGTTTCCGTTAAACTACACAATCATGTGATACACATTATTTGGTCTTTTGTTTTTACAGGATATCAGTGGTAACCAGCTGAGAGATGTTTCTCCTTTGAACTCATTAACTCATCTCCTTACACTAAAAGCAGAAAGGAATCTCTTACATTCAGCCAAGCTAGATGAGGTTAGAGAGCACAGTTTGTTTAGAGTGATTTTACTAAACCTGTGTTCAAAATGAACAGTATGTGACAATTATTAGTACCCAATATACACTGTAGTTACTTAAGAAAACAAGCTTATACATGTTATTTTTTTTTGTTTTTCTGTATTAGCATTTTATTTAATTTTTATTTTATTTATTCATTTATTTTTCTTCGTTGTATCGACTTAACTAGGAATCTTTATATTTTTCTATCTATTAGGGCAATGTACATGTATTAGTTTTACTATTTCTGCCCTTTTTGTTTTCTTCAGTTATTTCTTAATTATTTCTTTCTGTAAACTTGTTTAACCTATGGAAAAATAACAAAAAATGACTACTGCGGAAAAAAAAAAACAAAAGAAAAGAAGGATTAAAAATCAATAAAGTCCAGTATGTACTCATAGTCTACTGTCTATCTCATGGATTAAGTAGCAACCAACGCTTATTGTTTAAATTTTTCCTTAAGTATTGTTTTCTGGTAAAGTGAGTGAGCTCTGGGTCTTGGAAGTTTTACATATTTTGTTTTGTTCTGAAAAGCTCTAAAGACTGGAAATTTCTGGAAAAATCCTTTCTTTGTTAGTTTGTCATACATTGCATTGTATTATTAATGGCTGCTGGTAAATCAAGTGATCAAGTTATCACTACATCATTCCAATCTGTCATAGCTGTTCTTCAAAGAATTACATAATATTAACAGGGTTGGCTTTAACTACATTCCATTTACCCCCTCCCCCCCCAGCCCCCAATACCTGGGACCAACCCATACATCTACACTTTCCCATATTTTCTAGAATCCTACTTAAAATAATCATCCTCCTACTCAGATGCAATTAACTGGTGGCACAATGGATTTTGTGTAATTTGTGTCTTGTCTGTACAATTGTAGCTGCCTTATATACAGATTGCAAGCTTTGCCAATAACAAAATAATGGACACAGAAGGCATCAATCACCCTCTGTTGGAACAACTCAATTTGTCTTGTAAGTACGGTATAAAGAGAAGAAGACAGTTAGTGTGGCATCATGTTATCATGGTAGCAAAAGTCCTAGATCACAACAATCACTCTCTCTTGTCTGCAGTGCTAAAAAAAACTTGAATTTCCAGCACGTCCTTTGGGTAAGCAGCTCTCTCGTTTTGCTTGCCTGGGACAACTACTTACTCATCTTAGAAATTAGAGAAATTGGGGGGAACTAGGTTGCCTATCCATGTTGGGCATTAACCATTCTACTCACAGCACTTCAATCACCTTCTCTCACAAACTACTAGTTAACAAGTTACTTAATTTACCTTATCAGGAGACAAGTGCTGCTAGTGGTTTCAGTGTACCAGTGACACAGCCCTCCCAAAAAGTTTTAGAGCACCACTCCCCCCCCCCCCCCCCCACTTTGGAAAAGATAAAAAATCTGTGCACTCCCTGAGAATTGTATCGGAAACTGAAAACAAAAATTAATGTAAAAAAAACAGTAGTTAAAAACAATAATTTGTCTTTTTCTTAATTCACCCCCAAGTTAATGAAATTGTAAGGGCGCCTGGATTTTCTCTT